TTTTGGATGGTGCACTTTTGTGAAGAAGTGCAAGACGCAGCAGAACAGCGCAGGTCATTGGGAGCATGGCACTCACAATGTCGGGAGCAACCTTCTGTCCAGAAGGACTCATCAGCCTGTAACAGGCAAGAAAAACAGATACATAGCACATATGCCAAACCAGTCAATGGCCCTTATTTCACAGCAGACATTTTGACATGTTAATGACGACTGCAATTAATTCACTGTGACTGGTCAATCTTCCTGGAGGCACTCTCAGTGGAGCAGAGCCAATAAGGAGTTCCACTTCTGCTTTTCCTGCTACGAGTCAAAACGTCTGCCTTGAAAAAGGTCTGTGGGCTATCAAGTTACTATTTCTCCCATAGTAATTGAACTATTGGGGGTAAAGTAGGCTGTTCATTCTGTGTGTTACTTTTTGTTTCTTACACAGAGCATGACCGCATGACCATTAGACAGTTTTTCACCATTTTTGTAGCCCCTTACTTTTTGTTGGGCAGTTTTGCCGGCAAGCTGCGAGCATTTAAATACACAGAGCCCAATTAGCGAGTTGATCCGAGGTGCCCAATTTTCTGCCTTGTAGTAGGGTAGTCATATTGGCGGAACCTTTTTGGTTAAAACAGAACGAGGCTGCCTTCCGCCATGGGAGGGGTTGTTGCTGACTTGTGGGGGGAGCTGTTGATGATGCCGCACGTGCGACCCACTGGTGGTGGATAAACGGGAAACAGCTGATAGCAGGAATGAGCAGGCAGTACTCGTAGCAAGAGGGAAACGCAAACCTGACAGATGCTGTAAAGATGAGCAACTGAGGAGACAAGGAATTGCGCGCCCTCCTTGTCCTCGCAAATGAAGAGGCCATTAACCGGCAGATGATGGGGACGGTGAAGGACGGGCCAACTTATGAGAGAATCTTCGAAAGACTGACCAGCCGCGGCTTCCTTCGGACTACGTCACCATTTACGCCACACGCTGAGCTACGCGTTTTGTTATTTGCTCACATCCCCCATTGCCCTGTAAAAGGCACATTCTGTATTAACAAAAGTAGGCAGGCGGCATTTTGCCGCACTCCTTGATTTTGCTTTTATACTGCCAATGCTGAACGAAGACTGATTGGGCTTTCCTGCAAGTTTGCACAATTCCTGTCTAAAAAGGGCTTGTGTCTAGAATTTTTTGGGTGGGTCAGAAATCATGGCTTTATGATGCACTGGAGCCATCCTTAAATTATACCATGGTCTGGGTCAATACCCGATTCTGATTTACTGAAGGATGTCCTTTAAAAAACTGAGTATGTACACTCACTAAGTAGTTCTGGTGAAACTGTGTTCACTGCTCTACACTGATGTGCTGGCTACATAATTGTATCAGCCTCTATCTAATATGGATAAGGGACACAGTCAAAGCCTCTGCTTACAATGAATTTCCAACACGGAGTGTAGTCTTCAGTGCCTCATTCTCTAAACACCACAGGATGAAGAATATAACACATGCACTGACCCTCTGAACTTAAGCAGTTATCTGAGATCCCACTCATTGTTCAATATGCTACCATTTGTGACCGTTGACTGTTGACATTGGCTTTGCTGGACTATTTGTCTAGTTAACAGCCTAATGTTGTGTTGTCTGCTGCTGTCATATTAACTATATTCAGGCTTTTTTTCATCCTTTAGTCCTTTTCTGACCATTTATCATTTAACTTAAATGCTATCTGTGGTAATAAGTTTCATTTTGTGGTGCAAAGTTTGTCAAGACAACCCATAATGTCGGCTAATTAACGATTGGCCTAATTAATCGCTCAGAACACACGTGAAGCGGAAGGATACATGGACAGTTAAAAGTCCCAGTGTTGTTCTACTCAGAGCCCTTGATATCGTGGAATGCTTCCTGTCCAATCAAAATGCTCGGTCGGAACTAACTGTTGTATGACAGTTGACACCACAACAAGCAACGTCTGAAGGTAGCGTCGGTCGAGCTCGTTAACGCACACGCCTTCAACGTCTGGAGAATAAAGTTTCTGCTTACTTTTTCACGATTTTGAAACCTAATTTTATATACTTGGCGATTTTTAATCGTTTAAAATTGCCTGGGCGATTAATAACACACTTTCTGTGCTGTGACAGCCTCAGAACACATTTATTTTTGCTTCACTCGGACAGCAACGTTCAGCTAACTGAAGACAGGTTTGGGACCCCACCCACCACCTACATGACAGCTATCTTAGCTAACGTTAACTTACCGTTATTAAACTAGCAAAAGACCGAGGCAAAAAATATGGCTAACTTTAACTTGAACTCATGTTTTTCTTTCTCACCCTGCCATTCGGTGAAAGCACAACTTTTTTGGGCCATGCTGTCGAAGTTTCCCGGAGCAGCTGATAAAAACTGTAAATAAAGCTAGCAATGCTATGTTGCTAACATGGGACGGATAAATAAGAGTCCTAGCCTTAACAGGTGTCGGATACCTCGTCTGTACCGCGGGTATATTCTTCAAAACATTACAACAACAATCAGAGATTTCAGCTATGGATCCTACATTATCGGATGATGCTGCTCATTAAGTTACTACTACAAGCGTGGACGTGGAGAAAGTAAACACAAACACGAGTGGAGTGTCTCCTGTGACAGATGTCAGAGGTAAATATGACAACAACCTGCTGCTGTGACTCCGTTCATATTTGTCATAGTGACCACTGACCAGCCTGGATTAAACTTTTCCACACAGTTCAGTGGAGGATGAAGGTCAATGGAAAATGACTTTATTACTGGTGTCTTGGATCATCATGGAGTCAGTGGACACATGAGGGGACCCTCAACAACCTCAAGAGAGGAGGTCAGTCATTTTTATTTTCTGTAGTTCTTCATGTCTTTGTGTGTGCCTGTGCTTCTACACCCGCCGTGGTGATCTTGTGGTATTAATCATCATTTGATTAAGATGTCTGTCATGCTTCTGCCTAGTGCACCCACTGTAGTTTGCTTTATGCTTTCCTTCTGTGTTTGGCGTTGCTGGGCTTTATGTTATGACGTGCTCAGATTTATTCTGCTTGAAAAGTAACGGTTAGTTAAAGTGTACGTTTGTGTTTAGTGGTTTATGTGCTTTATGCTTATTCTGCCTGGTAGATTTATCTAAAGTGCATTTATTTTAGTGTCTAATTGATACGATGAATGGATTTTAAATGTGATTTTATATTGGAATGGGAAGTCCAGCATCATAAGACACAGTATTCAGCTCTGCTGTGTTCTGCTCCATCAGTTTAAACCTTTCTCTTACTCTCTGAACTATTGTCTCTCCATGGATGACATTCATTTGAACTCTGATTTAGGGGACACCATGGGTCATAATGTGCAATATACATGGACAAAGTTACTGAACCTTTTCAATTAACCGTAAACAGTTAGCTGTACTAAGATTTAATGTTGTACATACATAAATATATGCCACTTCTCATATATTTGTGGTCTTTACCATTGATTTATAGCTTGTGTTTGATATTGTATACATTTGGGACTGTAGGCCAGTGGTTCGCAACTGGTGGGTCACATCCCTAAAGTGGTTCGTGGGTCCATTCCAAATGGACCGCAAGTGACTCACGAACCTGTCATGTTTGTATAAAACACACTTTATTTTTAAGTATAGTGAATTTCTGGCCCACAGCTTTTTTTTAAAGTGCATTTTTCTGCTGTAGAGTCAGTGATAAACAGACAGCTACTTGATAGAGACAGCAAACTAGCTCGACTACATGGCCAAACGCAAGTATGATGCTGACTATATTAAACTGTGTGGACCTTGAACTAATGACTAAGGAGAAATCTGGACCCCGTGGCTGAACCATTGCCTTAGGCTATCTTCAACCAGTTTCAACATTTCTGGCATTGTCAATCTTTATTGTTTAGGCCTATGTGTTGTCATTATTTGCCCTCCATACATTTGCACTCTTTCCAAATCTGTACTGCAACTTCTGCACAATAGTTTTTTTTGGGATGAATAACATTTTATCTCATCTCATCTCATCTCATCTCATCTTATCTCATTAGATGATAGGCTCCTCTCACATAGGGGAGCCTATCATCACAAAAGTCTTTACAAACATGCCTCTAGCTATTCTGTGATTGAGCAGAACAGTGGTTGGAGGACACCTTTTGAACCTATCTCTAAATGTGAAATGTTGGAGCCACAATAACATTCTTTGTATTTATTTTGATTCATGTTTAAATAATGGTGACTACATGTTAATAGATGCAGTGTTGCTGTTTGTACACAGGGTGGCGCACTAGAACAGGAAAATGCAGGTCATATAGGTAAGGTGCAGGTGATGAGCAGCAGGTGTGTGATAGAAGAAGCAAACAGTTTTTTGACTGTGTTAAGTGTGGCTGCATGAAGAGTTTGTAGTGTGTTGAAACTGAAATTGATGAATGGAATTTTACCTTTGACGGACACTTCACTGATAAGTGGAAACCTACCTGAGGTGAATTATGGACATACAGTGTTTTGCCTGTGTGAAGGTGAGCATGTGTTAAAATAAATGGATCACCGCACTCAACGAAACCTGACCAATTGGACATTGGTTTATTGTTGTTGCCCAGAACATGCATCCGAACAAGTTCTCCCCGTTCGCCCCTCAGGGGCCTTAAATGTAAAGTTTTTTATTGAAAGACTCTACATGAAATGTTGTTTACCTTAAAAGCTACAAAAAGGACAAGATTTGTTTTACTACCTACTGTGGTGAGCTGCAATTTTTGCAGCTGTAAGTTAGCATTCAGACCAAAAGTGAGGGGCTGCATTGGTAGTGGCTTGGTGCTTCAGGTACCGGTGAAACGCTAAACTACGATCTGTGAAGTTTACCATTCATTTTTTTGTCACATAGTAACTGTACATTTCTTAGTACTGAAATGTGACTTACATCATAGTAGAACCCATCATCTTGGCAGCCACAGCTTTCCACAGGGACACATCTTGTTCCACTCCTGAGAAAACCTTCGTCACAGAAACATCCCTCAGAGCAAACCTGCTCACAGGTGGCATCATTGGTGCTGGCACAGGTGTGACCACAGTCGGTACCACACAGCTCATAATGACTGTTGGCCGGACATTCAAGTGCTTTATAAGTTTGAAAAGAAATGGCGGTCATTGGATGGTTGTGTACTAATTATTTTTATCCATAGTTCTGATAGGTAATTCAGAAAAGACATCTTAGATTAATGGTTAATAGATTTTGTGATTTATTATAGTTTTAAACTATAAATTGATGGGTTGACTTACTGCAGGTGGTGTTCTGTCTCCAAGGGTAGATTCGAACATTAGCAGACTGACAGGCACTGACGTATGCCTCAATGGCCCTGCACAGGAGATCTTGCCCCTCATTTCCCGACACACACACATCAAACACACAGTCATTGAAATATGGCGCTGGGTCCACCTGCTCATGGCAGAAGCTGAGGGGGCCATCAGCTGCCTGAATCACCTCACACTTGGCTCTAGCAGGGAGGTCATTGGTGCATTGTGGACAGGAGGAGCCACACCCATCGCTGCAGGTGTAGTCACCTTCCACTTTCCAAGCTTTCCCAAACTCATCTGGAGTGGTGACTATCATTCCAGATGGGGTGTGGAACTCATCATTTGGATTTCCATTGAAGTTTCCACAGAGGCCACAAATTTTTCCACTGCATTGATGACAATGGTTAAATATTTTCAGTGTCACAAGTCAGAAGAAAGATGGTTATTACATGACTTTATTTGAAAATGTAGTTTTTTAAGCCTGTCAAAGCATTGCAGTTTTAGCTCCAGTGAATAGAAGATACCTGTAATTTGCAGGTACAGAGATAAATACAGTACTATATCCATCGTAGGTGACACTTAAACCAAAATCAGCACTGACTAATACACGGGGTCCACTTGAATAGATTGACATCTGACCTCCATTCAAGACAATAGGTAAAGTTCTAGTTTCTCCATTCACCTAAAAAAGAAGTTTTGAAGGAACATTAGGTGTGTATTCTGCAACTTTTTTTGTATTGTTATTCTATTGACAGTCTCATAACAAATAATGCAAAAACAGATTGGCTTTTTTCTATGTAAGATAACATATACTTGCAATATTTTTTTAATTTTCTGTCTATATTATTTACATAGCCATGGAAATGGCTGTCAATTGGTTGCTAATTAGACTTAATCTAAATTATGCACAGAAATCATCTGATGAGAACATCAAACATTATTTTGGCAACTTACTTGAACCACACCACTTCTCTCCGTCGACATATGCACTTCATAGCCCCACACATGTACAAAAACTTCAGCTGTGATTGAAACTGGCAGCCCTCTCCATGGCTCATTCTTAGCCTCCACTGAAAATTGGTAGCGTTCATCAGTAGCATTACAAAGGGTCACCAGAGTATAGCGACAGGTTCCCTGGAAGTCATAGGCCTTTCCATCAAAGGTGAGGTAGTGAGGGTCTCCAGAGGCAGAGCAGCTGCCGTGAGGGTTGGGATGGCAGCCAAGCTCACCATCCACCACACGGCAGGACTCCTGGGGACCACAGGAGTTGGGGATACAGTGGACTGCCCCAGTAGTGCCATCGCAGGTACACAAGCTCTGACACTCCTCACCATCCCAGAACTGCTCTCCACCTTGCCAGTAGCTTCCTTGGTGATAGCAACCACAATGTGTTGGTGGCACGCACTGGTTGCCATTCAGGACAGAATCATCATTACACTGGCAACCCTCCTGGCACACAGTGTTACAGGCAAAAGGGAAAGAGAGGCTGGGGCAGGTGGAGGGACAAGACGTTCCGCAGACTTCATAATGGCTGTTTACAGGGCAGTTTTGCTCTACAGATAAACAAAATTCAGAAGTTATTATGTTATTTCTATACCATATCCAAGCTTAATCCAAAAAAGACATAGTGCTTACCACAGTCAGTTGCATTCCTCCAGTGTCCAAGGGCTACGCCCTGCTGTTGACACATTAGTGCATAATCTCGTAGGACCTCACATAGTGTTGAAGCTGGATCTTTAGAGGCCCTCATGATCTCCACACATGCATCCACATGCTGATGTGGGTCCACCTTGGCCCAACACTGGGCAAATGGCCCATGAGGTGAGCCAATAATACCACAGTACTCACTTGTATTGTAATTTGTTGTAGAATTCTGATTTACATTTTCCACACAGTGTGCAGCGAGGGAGCCATCTCGCCAACTGTCCCCAAAGTCCTGAGAGTTGTTGACCAGAATGCCATTGGGTGTGAGGAAGTCATCATGTGGGTTAGCATTGTAATTACCACAGAGTCCACCCAGTGAACCGCTGTAGGTAACAGGTGCAGTGACACGCACAAAGTGAGGCCAGACTGTCTGCACCGTTACACCAAAGGAGGTGCGAAGGATGATACTGTGAACACTGCTGTGGTAGATTTGGATTCGGTTGGATGCTGAGCTGAATGGAAGTCTGATCCGCTGACCGTCAACCTAAAGGGCCAGTTAGATTCATACTTTGTAGTTAACAAGATTTACACAAAGGTACTGTATATGCTGTTAAATATTCAGAAGAAAAACACTACTAATAATATTCATGTCACTAAACTTTTCTCACATATCAGCAATTAGTTTGTCACATTTGTCTTCATTAGTGTTAACATGTATCGCCTAGAATCACTGTTTTCAAAAAAGTCCACTCACTTACATGTACTCTGCTGCTACTTTCCATCTCAATGGACACGTGTTTGCCCTCTGCCTCGAACTTAAGCAACTGGGCAAAACCCTGCTGGCCTTTGGGCACTTTTTCTGCTGTCACCACAAAATGTGGGTGACTAGACAGTCCCATTACTTTGGCAACAGT